GAGCATGACTAGAGACGTGTTTTTAGTTAGATTTTTTTATTTAGGCAACTGTTACCCTGCGTTATGCTGGAGAAAGACATGATAGCGATTGTCCCACAACGGCGATCGCTTTCTAAAAGCGCAGAAACCACCACGCTCAAATGAAGCACGCACGCCTTCCCCATCTGCGGTATAAGCAGTTTACCTGCCTTTCTCAGAAAGAATACAGCGCACGGATCACTATGGAGGCTGGTGAGTATCAGGAGGTTGAGTTTGGAACGGTGCTAACCCATTTTCCACCAATTTTCACCGCTTATTCGCTTCTGCAGTCTGTGAAAAACGGGTTAGCGCCGCGCCAAGCCGAGTCCGACCCACAGCGAACAAGACTTCAACGGAGGTATTCAACGGCTTCTGGTATGTGAATAAGCCTCCTATTTGTAGGCTAGGGGCGCACTACATGGCTTTGCAATCACAGCCTTGCAATCCATGGTTGACTTGTGAGCACTAAGATGACACGCAAAATACAGTCCAAATAGTAAATTGAATAACTCACGCAATAATCGACGACAGAGAAGTTATTTCAGCCGTGAGATATGCCATATAAGGAATGACAAAAATAAACACTGGTGCAAGGATTCGGACCTGATTTGTATATCTAAACAAAAACTGTTTCAGTCAGGTTCCATAGAGTTCTGTGATGAATTCCGGGGAAGAGATCAAAAGTAACTCACTTTGTTATAAAGCTAACAATGAATGCGGCAACGAGACCTATCAGTGCACCACCGCAAGCAACCAACAGGAACGACAACACACCGGCTCCATAGTCAACCGGTTTCAGATTTTCTGCACCGATTATCGTAAAGCTCTTGAACATTTGGTAGAGCACCTCAAATATAAGGGGTTATTCGTAAGTTCCACTGTCACAGTTCAGTCAAAAATTCTGTTTAGAAGATGGGACAAATACTTGTGAAGTTGTGTGCTCTCCATTACCCATGTGACATAACCCATAACCCACATCAGCATATACTACGGGTCCGCGCCAACATCTAATTTTTTAAAGGCGAGTGGCATGATGATTCCCCAAGACATGTAGATCTAATACGCCTGGCAGCACAGAATTCAACGCTCCTGATTCGGCGCTACTGTGGCGTCTTTTCCGCACTGAAGAGACGCCATTTAGCTCCCATCAAGCTGCACGATACGTAGGAGGAACGCTCACTCGCGCCACCGCCCGAGCCCCGCCCACAGAAATCCGACTATGCTGGTGCTCGTGCGCTCATTCTGCGAATGTACAATCGAAGCGAAGGGATCGATATGAACCGGTTGGGATATATGAGTAGACACGTGCAGCCGTATTCACCATAGCGGTTATTGGCACGATGGCAACGGGAAACTCGGCCAAAACCGGTTCTCAAGTTCAGCAGGGCAAGGGCTCTTTTTGCAAGTTTCTGACTGTTTTACTTCGCTTTCCCGTCATTTTTCCAACATATAGCATCCTGCTACTATTTTTGAGCAGGTACCAATTAATCGTGCCTTATTCCTGAGGAGGCGGAGGTGGTGTAGTGACAAGTGGCGCGCTTACCACTCGCGCGGCGCCGGGTTCGAATCCCGGGTCGACACCCGCCCAGGCCAACCAAGCCTTCTACCCTCCGGGGACGGTAAATTGGTACCAGATTCGTCTGGGAGGATAAAACACTGACTTGTACATCGGCTGGCCACCGCAAGTCATTGTATCCCACCAAGGGACTGATCAACGGCGAAGACTTTATCCTTTATCCTTGTATCCTTTAGTCCCTGAAGAGAGCGAAGGTTACGCCTTGAAGTCCCCTCGGCATAAGACACGATTCAGGATCGTCGGTCGCTGTGTATTTTAAAGTGCAAATACTGCATGTCCGCACCTGAGCGCAATTCGCAATAATGTACTGGCAATTGGTCTCGTTTTGTGGATAAATTCATCATTTCATGGTTCCCACTGATTCGGAGGGAGTGGTGTTTTAGTGACGGTGAGCGCTAAAGTGCATGGCGCAATCTGCCGCGCGCGACGGCGGATGGTCCTGCAGTCACACCCTCTTGGCGCCCATGTTTTTTTATCACGATTGCTTCTAAATGAACTCAGCCTCATTTCGTAAATACCGCATCGGGCTACTCAGTAGGAAGGAAGAAGCAAGGTACGCGGGAAACGCTCCAATAACCTCTGTTCTCGCACACTCTCCACTTCTGCGACTATAGGTCTGTTTTGTTTCATGATGTGCCACTTTCAAACGTCAGGCTACAAGAAGCAGAACATACCTCCTGCCACAGTCGCTGCGGAAGCCAGTTTTCCGATTAGGAGTGAAAAAATGGTTCCCTCACCCATTAAGAGAGCGTGCTTAGCGTGCTTACTCCCTGTTTCAATCTGGAGCTGAGAACTGATCAAACAAGGTAAAACCGAACAAAAAATGTTCCCAATCAACATTTTCACCCCCATAGTCGATGATTTGCGCGTGCAGCACTCGTTCGAGAAGCGGATCATTTTCAATGACATCACTTCAAACCGGTCCTTGGTCTCTCTCACTACACTCATTTCGTTCCCGTCGTCACTTCATTATGGATTGAAATGATGATATCACTATTGGGATTATATCCTCGAAAGAAAGTATGAGAGGTGGACACATGAAACGGAAGGTCTAGGAAACCTTCACTTACTACAGTCACACCATCGTTGAAGAGCGCTTCACCGAAGACATTTACGAAGATAAACTCGTTCACGTTGATTTCCTCGAACACCGCGATCACCGCTACCTAAATAGAGACGCTGTGGAGATGTAGCTTCACTTTTCTTAGAATGGAACTTCACATTTTGGTTAAATTATGTTACAAGAAGAGCCTATATCTCTTGATCTCAGACTTTCATTCGAAATAATGTAAGCCAACCCGTACACCTTATAATCTATGTCAATTTTGCTTACTGTTATGCGCAGAAGTGCTGGCAAGAGGCGCGCCAACTATGTACAGGGAGGGGGGGGGGCAAAAAAGAAAGTCACTTTTCTTCATTGACTTTCGTGGCGCTATAAGTTACACTTTATAAATTCTAATCGGACACCATATTAAAGAGCATATTAAATACTATTATAAAACTCCGCCACAGCCTTCTGGACGAGCGCCATCGAGAGATTCTGGCACGCGACCGCGATGTGGTGCCTGAGATCAGCGAGATAGTCGATTTCTCCGCCACCGTAGACCACCCTATTGAACTCCGCCCGAACCGGGTAATTGAGGGGATTCAGGTCAGGTGACCTACTTGGATATTCCATCTTCTTTAGGTACTCAGCCCCCTTCCATTACCATCTGCTTTAGGCACTGTAACAGACAATTAATCGCCACCCCCAGCCCAGCCCCCAGTGAACAGCCCGCTCCCGCAGCTGAACGAGCCAATCGGAACAGCCCCCCGCCCCCCCCCCCCCACCCGCCCCACCCCCCCCCGTGGAAACAGCATCTCTCCCATGAACCCAGCCTTCCCCGCCGCCCGTGAACAAGGTGAAACGGAGCCCATGAAGCAAGGACCCCGTGAACAAGCCTCAGGTGCGAACGAGTCCGGCATGAAACAGCGTGGACAAGCACTGTCGGAACGGAGCCGCCCCGATGAACCAGCCGCTCACGTGAACCAAGGGAAACCGAGCCCGTGTGACACAGCGTGAATCAAAGGGTGAACCGAGCCCCGCATGAAACCAAGGTCCGCCCCTCCGTGAAACGAGCCCCCCTCCACCCCCAATGAACAAGCCCACCCTCCCCCCCCCGCGCCCCCTTCCATTCCAAGTAGGCGAGAGTTTCTCCAACGCCCGTGGTGGCACCCAATGCTGTAGCAGTACAAAGTTTCCAAGAAGGTACGGGCGACGACATGTGGGAGGATATTCTTCTCGAGTTGCTCGATGTAACCGCCAGCGCTCACCTTCAGTCCGGGGTCCACGAAGAAAATATTGGTCTTTCCATTCCAGGTACGTCCGGTCCATACCATCAACCCGCGCCTTGACGACTGCGGTGAAGATGATGTCCTAGACCGTAGAGCCTTCCAGACCGAGAGTGCAGGTCCTCAGGCAGCTGTCCATGGAAAACTCCACAGAAGAAGTTTCGCAGCTGTTTGGAGGTGACATGAATTCCAAAGGTCTTCTCCAGTCAGGCTGCGACTGGAGATGACTTCATATTTTGGTGTACATGAAGGTGATGGGCGAGGGCCAGCTCCTGCTTATCGAGGAACATCTTGGGTATCTTCCGCCCTGGTACTCGTATCCACGTCTTCTCTCTGGGCTGCGAAAACTTTGCTGATATGTGACTCGGTCGAAGTGACTTTTTTGCCCCCCCCCCTGTATATCTTAAAGAGCACTGGATTGGATCCCCTTTAGTAAAAGGCATACTCTGCGATTTACCGTCAGAAACGACGCAGATATCAGGGTTGTAAAAAAGTGTTTATGCTATCTGGCTTATCAGCGAAGACAGAAGCAAAAACCCCGACAACGCTCCTGCTCCAAAAGAGACTCACCTTACCTATCCCCAAATAGGAAACAACGATTTGTCGAAGTTTAGGGGATAGACCAGGCAAGAGCATGCCATGGAGCAAACTCATGCCAGACTCTCCAATGCTATCCACGTTAGATCACGTAGAGCTTTACTTCTCATAAGTAATCAAGGAATGTGCCTTCTAAGCAAACCCTTCTCCCACAGGACCACAACTATGAAGAGGAAATGAGTGCCTAGGGCATGATTAGGGAGCAACTAGAGGCAATCAGTTTGCCGTTTTTTTTTCAGCCTGCCCTCCAAGAAAGGATGAAAGGATGAAGCTTTCGGCATCGGTGTTCCCTGCTTGGGACGAACGTCATGCGGCGCAGTATGCCGACGGGGGGGGGGGCATTTTGTACTATCATTGCTTCCTTAGTTCCCGTTTACAAGTCTCACTCTGGTGAAACCTGTGAACTCTTGTGAAGCTGGAGCAAGCTCCAAGCCATCATGGTAAAACCTGTCAACTCGAGAAGAGGCTGTCTAGATGGGTCGACACGTCGATGGGAAGTCGTTGAAGTGCAAAATGCTCCCCCTCCGTCTACAAACAGCGCACCCCTATGCTACTTCACTGACTGGCTATACAGGGGGGCCAAAAAAAAGTCACTTTGCTTCATTGACTTTCGAGGCGCTATAAGTTACACTTTATAAATTCTGATCGGACATTTCTACCACCATATTAAAGAGCATATTAAATACTATTATGACACTCCGCCACAGCCTTCTGGAGGAGCGCCATCGAGAGATTCTGGCACGCAACCGCGATGTGGTCCCTGAGATCAGCGAGATAGTCGATTTCTCCGCCACCGTAGACCACCCTATTGAACTCCGCCCGAACCGGGTAATTGAGGGGATTCAGGTCAGGTGACCTACTTGGATATTCCATCTTCTTTAGGTACTCAGCCCCCTTCCATTCCAAGTAGGCGAGAGTTTCTCCAACGCCCTTCGATTCCATGTGGTGGCACCCAATGCTGTAGCAGTACAAAGTTTCCAAGAAGGTACGGGCGACGACATGTGGGGAGGATATTCTTCTTGAGTTGCTCGATGTAACCGCCAGCGCTCACCTTCAGCCCGGGGTCCACGAAGAAAATATTGGTCTTTCCATTCCAGGTGCGTCCGGTCCATACCATCAACCCGCGCCTTGGCGACTGCGGTGAAGATGATGTCCTAGACCGTAGCGACGTTGTCGGAGCTGCTCGATGTTGGAGGTCTTGCAGATCAAGAGTACTGGTCTCCAGGTAGCTATCCATGGGTGATTCCATTCAAGAAGTTCCGCAGCTGTTTGGAGGCCACGTGAATTCCAAAGGCGTTCTCCACTCAGGCCGCGACTGGAGATGACTTCATATTTTGGTGTACATGAAGGCGATTGGCGGCAGCCTGCTCCAGCTTATAGAGGAAGATCTTGGGTATCTTCCACTCTGGTACTCATATCCACTTCCCCTGTCTGGGCTGCGAAAACTTCGTTGATATGTGGCTCGGCCGAAATGACTTTTTTTTGGCCCCCCCTGTATATCGACTTCTACGGCTAAACCAACATAATAGTCGAATGTTAAGTTATTTCTGCCAAACGAGGTTGTTAGATAGAACCTTTTTATTGGCCCGACGTTTCGACCTTCTCGTCTTCTTCAGAGGCCTGAAAATGGCTCGAAGCTTTCAATTTGTCACCTACCCGACCAAGCGCCTTCCCCACTCTAGCGTTTCCGACGTCGTGTCCCGAACACCCCCGAAGAACCCAGTAATAACTGCGCTCAACTCACCGAGGTTCCACCGTGCGGAGCCTAGCTCACGCTATGTGTCAGTAGAGTAAGTAAGGACGAATGAGTCTCACTAGAGTCTCATCGTGTCACATAAGTCAAAATTGTAAGGTACAACGTAATAGTGTTGAAATCATTGAAGGCCATTTTAACAACTAGCCTACGCGGTAGTAATAGAAGCCCGGTTGACCCGCTCCTGAGTCTTGCAGGTATTTGACCCATGCTTCATGCGTGTTCGCAACTACATACAGTACACTTGTTATCCCCTAAAACGATAGAGCGCCAGGACGGCAGCTAGCACAGCAGAAGCAGATTTTTCATCAACTGTAGTGGACTCAGAATGACATCACTGTTGGAACGGAAGGTAAGAGTAAAATATAACGTCCGTCGATATCATCCTTCCACTAATCAACAACCAATTTCAACCAGTTTCATACAGTGTAGCCAGTATCCTCTAGGTTGCACCCAGTTGTCATGGAAAGCTTCATTTTCACCTAGCTCCGTTCTATCCCATCCCTTTGTTTTTTTCATTTAAATTATATCAGGCTGGAAGGAAAGTCCTGTCAGTGTTTTTTGAAAAGCTTACAGTTTTTGATTCTCGATGCTCGTACATGACGTAACATGCTATGCTTGTAGGACACTCTGGGAGCTTTCCTGCAAGAGGTGTGTGAGGGCGCCTGCTCTTCCCTGGGTTTAATTACGATGTCAGTTTCACAGGAGCATCTTCGGGTCATCATCTTCTATCGGAAGGCCGCGGCACTGGAGACACGCCAGCTGTCAAGTTTGCATTGGCGGAGGGCACCACTAGCGCTATGATCGTCCACCTTTGGATCGCTCGCTTCGCGAAAGGAGACACGTCCTTCGAAGGCAAACCTCGGTTGGGACGGCCCCATGGAGTGGGATCCACCATTCTTGAAGCAGCAAGGAGGATCCGGAGGCTACCACCCGCAGTCTTGCGACAAGACTCGAGTGTACCTAACTGACAGTCGTGAACCACCTGTAAGCCCTTGAATACTTAAAGTACTGGCTCGATGAACCGATGGCGACTTGTGCACCTGATACCCCTCGGTCAGACTCCCCTTCTCTCGCCCTCGTCAGAAGGAGTTTCTAGAGACTGCTTAGTGGAGATGAGAGATGGGTCCTCTATGATTTCAACCCACACAGTACCGTGTGTCTCTTTCAAGGAGAAGATCCATTCTAGCAATCCAAACCGGGCATGCATCATCATGAAAAATGACCGAGACTAACTTCGGGGCACCTCGTTCGTGAGTACGCGAGACCCCATACTGCTATGGAGACCTACCAAATAATTGAGGAGCAAGGCTGGGAGACCAGTCCCCGCTCATCATATTCTCCTGACGTAGTCCCCTACGACTGCTACCTGCTCCGCCTCCTTAAGGCTTTCTTAGCTAAGAAAACTTCAGCAATTTTGATGACATCAGTCGAGAGGCCGCTGACTTACTCTACTCGCAGCCTCCTCAGTTCTGGGAGAGGGGAATGGTTACCTGCCCATTAGGTGGAGCACTGTAGTGGCTAACTATGACGAGTATATTGTTGACTAATTCCCACTGTATGTTGAGTTAGAAAATAAAAAAGAAAAAAGTCACAACACGACAAGACTTTCCTTTCCAGCCTATTATTAAGCTGGTTGATTAACTGCTCTCAAAAGTAATGAATTTCCAAAAACCAGTTGACGACTCAACCTACCGGATCAACAGCTGAGATGAGAGCAGAAAAGACGAAAATCTCGGTGGTAGAGAATTCCATGGAGAAAATACCATAGCTGGAGAGTAACAGCAGTGAGCATCCTGAACGACTACTTTATTCCCTTTAGTCTCCAGAATTATTGAGCCTGTAAAGGGAATTTGGCCTATAAACTTAGGATTCAACAGTCGTGCCATGATTGATGGCCTTTTTCGGGTAAATTTCTAATCAAAGGAGTGCAGAAGAACTCTCGCCTCATGGTCATTAGTCGTTGTCCAAGTTCGAAGTTCATAGAGACAGTTCGAAGCGGCGTGAATCATATTTTAAGAATCTCATGAGCAGAAATCAATAATTCGCGTTGATTTTTCGACGAAGCCACTAAGGGTGCTAATTCTGGCACTATCGTGGGTGTCAACCACTGTCCTCGGAAGCGATATGTAATAGAAAAATTTTCGGATAACAGACTAAAGTGGGGAGAGAAGTTGGTAGGTCTAGGCTCTCAAAAGGGTCGTACCGTTGCTGAAGTGGGGAGGGTCGTGCTAACACGACCATTCCCCACATCTCGATTCCGATTTTGCCTTGTCAGATATCCTGAGAAGTTATCCATTCGTTGACCATTCTATCTTGTTGATCTTGACTTTGCTTACATACATTTCAATTGTTTATGTGTTAGAAAGCTCACTAGCAGCTCTGATACAAACCGCCTAGCAAAAGTGGCGGGTAATTAATAGGAAATGTATTTGAATACTAGTACAGGGTAGCTGAAAAGAACGGGCACATGCGAAATTCTCTCTTTCTGGAAGTGTACCCTTCTACCGAGGAACTCGTTATTTGGTCTACTACAACAGGTTTCAAGTCACAAGTTTCACCGGAGAATTCAAGGGTAAGACATGTGGAGCCCGCGCTAGCTGGGATTATTCGTTGGAATATTTGGGAGTCTCGAGGCTGTTCGCAACTGGACTAGCACGATAAGACTCGACCAGGTTACATATGCAGCATTGCGAGTATTTTAGGGTTCTGAAGTGTCGAATCGACTGAAAGATAGACCGCAGTGAAAGGTGTTTCATATTACCTATGTGGCAAGGCAGAAAGAAAGCATGTTCTGTAGAAAGTGCCCATGCTTCAGGTGGACCGGGTGTGGTGTGGCAGATATACAGTCCTCATCATTGCGGACCGGTGGGGCGTGGCAGTGCGGCTGCTTTGGTGCGGTTTGGCAAAATCGTTCTGCACCAGTTTTTGAAGCGGGCAAGTGCATTACTGTATTATATCCTTCGTATTACTCGTTTTCTACCACTTTTTGTCGCATACGCGTTGCAACAAAAAAGGCTGAGAACGGCTTCAACAGTGTGCGCACTCCTTCTGGCTGACACGCCCCACCGGTCCGCAATGATGAGGACTGTAAGTTACATTATTTATTGTGTAAATAGTATCTACTATTATGAATTGGTAGGAATCTCTCTTGTCGAAGAGAAATTCGAAAATATGTGTGTTTCGTGTCTACTTTGAAATCTCTGAAAATTCTAGAAAAATCAGAAAGTTAGAAAGTTCACCAATGGCTAAGCAGTTCCATATAGTGCCCACTACGGCGAAGAGCAGCACCGAGTCGAAATTCTCAAAAAGTGCCCTGTTAGGCATAAAGTAACCTGAAAATCGATATTTCTTCATTCTTTTTGGAAACCTGATAATAAAAGTGCACGTACCCGCATCGAAAATAATAGGTGGTAGCAAATATAGAAAGAAAACATGAGAGTCAAGTGAATAATTTATATGGGCTCCGGTTTCCTTCAGAAGTAACCCGATGACAAGACCGACTGCGATTAATAGAGATGAGTCGGGTAACACGTTGGAGATTGGTTTGAATACATGGAACACTAAAACGGGAATTTTTCACAGTAATGTTTGTTTGTTGCGATATTGTTGCAGAAAACAGTATAAATCCTCCGAGTAGCAAGAAAGCACATTCCACGCTAGCTGCATGGGCGGAGAGGATCGTCCGTGGAATGAGCACTAAAAAGTAGATGAAACTTACAAATCTTAGCTAGTGCAGCTACAAGTAGCCATATTGCGATCATGTAAGGTGTTTCGTTCGCCACCCATCGGAACGTAACTACCTGAACATCAATAGAAAGTTCATTATTCGAAATCCCACTACATATACAGTCCTCATCATTGCGGACCGGTGGGGCGTGTCAGCCAGTAGGAGTGCGCACACTGTTGAAGCCGTTCTCAGCCTTTTTTGTTGAAACGCGTATGCGACAAAAAGTGGTAGAAAACGAGTAATACGAAGGATATAATACAGTAATGTCACTTGCCCGCTTCAACAACTGGTGCAGAACGACTTCATCACCGCGGAAGACGCCGCACTGACACGCCCCCCCCGGTCCGCAATGATGAGGACTGTAATTCGCTAAATTTGTCTGTGTGCGTGCTTGCCTGCGTGTGTGTACAGTCGTCATCCTTGCACTTGATAGTCAATGTCAGTGCGGCTGCGTGCGGCGCGGTCGCCCGCACCCGTACTGCACCAATCGTTGAACCAGGAAGTGACATTACTGTATTATATCCTTCGTGTTACTCGTTTTCTATCACTTTTTGTCGCATACGCGTTTCAACGAAAAGGCTGAGAAGGCTTCAAACAGTGTGCACGCTCCTTCTCGCCGACACGCCCCTATCAAGTGCAAGGATGACGACTGTATGTTGCGGGTGTGTTTGACCGGAAATTCATTACTTCCCTAAGATCAGTCGTAGGGAGTACAGATTGATAGGTTAGAAGGTCAGACAGGAACACTATTGGTGTGGCAGGAAGTGCTAAAAGCTGACAAGGGCTTGCAAGGACAGAAGGATCACCAAATTGATAACCCACGTCACAGCAGCATGGAACGTCGGTTCCAAGGAGTGAAATAAGGGGCTAGACGTGAACATCATTGGTGGTTGGCAGGAGGTGATAACAGCCGACAAGAGCTGACAAGGGGCCTTGAAATGGAGCGTCACCAAATTCATAAGGCGCCTTAGGCAGCCATGGACTGAACCATGGGCGCAGAAGTGCGCGCCAGTCAGACTGGTGGAATAACATTTGGATAGCAAGTGGAATTTAAGCGCAGCAAAATTCCTATAAAATGAAAATATTGGGTATTTGCGAACAGTCGGTGATATTTTCATTGAACAGATCCTTTGCCATCACGTATCAGAATTACTTCAATACATCAGCACTGAATCAATAAACCGCAGTTGGTACAATAAAATGCGCGCCGTACGGACGCTGCTTACTTCGCTTTATGACAGTTTTCGAGGTAGGTATAGGGATCTATCAGAAGTATGTCCCAGAGAGATTTTCAGGACGTGAACACAAAGTTTACAGAAACGGCATAAAAGTTCTGGTCCCTTCCACTACAGCTGCTCTGAGGACAACTTTCATGGATTAGCACCTTTGGCTGCACACAACTCGGTTGCGAAAATCTGCAAACAAATTTGGGTCGCTCACTTTGTAAATTTGTAATCATGACTTCAGCATCTATTGATGTAGACAGCCTTCAATTCGGAGCCCAATGATACATTGGAGCTTCTCCCTCGTCAAACCAAGCACAATTCAATCGCCTAGCGAGTGATTCTGTTTCCCTCCGGTACGCTCTCACATAGCGCTACCGTATCACGCGTGAAACACCACACAGTCTAGATGTATCTGTGCTGGTATTTGATCTTTATCTTCTAATGTTCCGTGAGAAAAACACAAGGGCACTGTGAAATGATAGAGCGAACCATCTCAAAAAGTGCCCTAACGTGTCTGAAATGATTAAATGGCGTTTGCGGAGAAAAAGCGCGTACGGCAATAAGTAGTGTTGGAGCGTGTGAAGGCTCTCGCATAGCTGATGAATGGTCAACTTATTTGGCTCACACTTTGGAGACACATCTTTTAAAGACAATTTCCGCGATCAGGTAGTACGGTAGCAGGCTCAGCCATGAACACTAGCCCATGAAGCCTCCTGTAGAGGAGCCGACGCCCTGGATGAACTTGTCAAACGTCAGACAAGCCCAGTTAGCAGGATTCGTAGTGCAGCCAGCTACCTGCAAGAGCATAAGAAATCCCCTTGCGACGCTCCAGGCAACACTATGCACGCACGGATTCCATTAGTCAGCCGTTACCTCACAGAGTTACAGTAGGCGGTTGTATCACTCACGCGTCTCTAGCTTCGTTATCTCGCCATTTCAAGTGACGAAAGTGGTATATTCTCTGCGAGTGCGGACAACGATGCCAAATGCACTGAGGCATTTCCGCTGATCACTTGGTCGCGGGAGGTGTCTTTCATTGCAAATCGCAGGTGTTAATGTTAAAATTCGCATTTTCAGGTGCTAGTGTACTTGTCCATGCGGGACATACTTGTCCATGCGGGACACCCAATTATTTTCAGCGTTGGACGAGCATGTGGTGAAGCGAAAGATACAGAGACACCGAAAAGCGGGGAGCTATGGGCTAGACAATCATGGGCAAGATTTGGGCAGCTGTGCAAAAAAGGGCGAGAAAATCAAGTAGTATGCCTGACCGCACTACCATCCGACTGTTCGAGTGTGTGTGTGTGTGTGTGTGTGGTCGAACACTGCACTCTGTGCTGTGAGTTATCGAACTCTTTCAGAAGGTTCGAAAGTACCCATTGGGATAAATGCTGGAAGTGTATTCAATCGACATGCCAGTGGGTAATTCAGAGATACAGCTAGGCCTAAGACTCAAGGCAGACGTTGGGTGCATGGCGTAAGCAGAAGGAATAATCAGTGAAGTTTTTTTCGAGCTATCTTCTCTATTTTTAATGAAAAGTGTTTTTGAAATGCGCAACCCAAGCTTCCTCAAAGACAATCGAGTGACCCTTACAGTATTGTTTTAGACTCAGGGTAAATCACTGGTTTGGTCGAGCCCCCGCTTCCCTTCCCAACCAACTGTCGAGTGGGAGAGACGGGGTGTATAGCACATGTGAAAGGGGAAAAACTACGAAAATCATCAACCTCTGTTACAAGGTCAGAAGGCAAATTCCACTCCCCCTTGCAACAGCGAGCAACTACGACCTTCCCCCGCCCCCCTTCCTCCCTCAAACAAGAAAAATAAGCTATCAAAAAATTTCTTCAGCCTAAATACGACCCTCCCCTCTCCCAGCGACAAAATACAGCGCCCCCCCCATTGGGGATCTCCAACAACGATGTACCCTATCTGGGGTTGAGTTAAGAGCAATTCCCTATGTCAAAAACGTGTGAGCCATGAATATGAATTCCTTACTTCCTTAGGTATTCGGATCGACCTTCTGGCTATGCCTGTTTGATCGGAAGAAACAGGATTAGTTTTCGCTGGTCCCATGTCTTCTGTTCGAATGACTCTTACGGTATGGCTCCGGGGTCAGGGCACAACATTGGTTTGGGATTTTGGTGGACCCCCCTCCGTTGATGCGACCCTCGGTTCCCTTCCCATCAACCTGTGGGAGGGGGCGGGGTATATAGCACATGTCAAGGGGGAAACGTTGGTAAACGATTTTATTTAATGAATATGAGCGGAACAAACCTGAAATCGTGTCTGGTGTCTGGTTCCCACTGTGATCTTCGTTAGCAGCTGAATAGCAGAACAGAATGAACAGAAGGCAGATGAATCTACGCCACATGTGCGAGACGTCCACCAAGGTGTCAGAGATGTCACTCTAATCGACTGAAATAAATATGAAGTACATTATTATTATCTCCCACATCGGTGTATAGGCGCTGGACGCAAAGACCGGTCGCATGGGTTTTAGATGGATTTGGTCTGTCGGCAGGTTGATCGACGGCTTTCAGAAATTACTTTTTCTCCCCCGTGGGTTGAGCAAATACAATATCACGTGAAAAAAAGCCGATCACTCCGCTAGCAGACCTAAGAACCCAAATCACAGAGCGTCAACCTGTCTGATAATCGCTCGCTGTGCAGGGATGCAGGGACTAGAAAGCAATCAGGGATAAGGGAGAAATGTGAGATTGAAAAGGCGGCGGAACACAGATGGAGGATAATTAGAGTTCTGGAAAGATGTGAGCAACGTGAAAATCGGGATAGCGCTTAAGCCAAGTCTAGACGTGTAACTTTGTGGAGAGGGGCTGAGTTAAGGGTGAAAAATGACAAAGAAGTTTTGAATGAATTATCAATTTTTTCAACACTTAACGTGAGATTGTAGAAGAAAAACCATCTAGCCATAAGAGTGTAGGGACGTTTGTTGCGGTGCTAATATTTAGTAAGTGACCTGAAGGTGCGTTCAGTGGTTAGTTCATGGTTTATTGAGACAACCTTACGTCGCTATTCACTTATGGGTATGACCACCGCAGCGCCCTCACTGTTTGCGCTCCACTGGAGCCTCCGTATAGACCTACAGCGTAGTATGTGCATTACGGAAGCAGCAATCCTACGCGTTTAAAAAGGACTGTAGAAAGTTATCAAGCACTGCTGAGAAGCAAAAGAGCGGAGATGGCGTAATGGCAAGTGGCCCACTAACCATTGGGCGCTGAACCCAGGATCAGATTCCGCCTAAACCAAACACGCCTCCCATCATTCGAGAATGCAAGACTTGTTCCACTTTCTTCTGGGAGGATGAAAACACTAAATTGCACATCGGCTGGCCCTCGCAAGTCATTGTAGGCCATACTGCACTCGGAATGATTCCTGCAAGATTAAGACTACGAGCCGAAAATCTAATGGGAACCGCATCTTGAAGGGGACTGATTAATGGCGTAAGCTTCATCCTTTTTGTCTTCATCAGAAAGCAGCGAGCCAAACAGTTGGCAATTGTATCATCAGTACAAAAGTTAGCTTTTGTGAGCTTCCGCACATTTGAAGGTCTGCGACGGGTACAAGAAGCAAGAAAGCCAAGAAAGTTTCCTGGAAGGAATCCCCTCACTTTAAAGAAGGATCAGGGGTGAGCGGATTGGGAAAGATATTGCATGAGTGCGCCACGCGCTGAAAAAATCGCGTAGCGCTGATATGTTTCTTCGTGAACTTTGCCCTGAACTCGATTTCCCATTGGACTGGTAGCAACCTCTGAGTGCGGTTTTGGTCTTAAGTGCTTGGCAAGGTATAGTT